AATCTGTGCAATGTTTGTTGCATTCAGCAGAGTCTGCAGCAGTACTGTGGTTGTTGGGGCCCTGGGGCCGTCCTCATCCACCAGTATACCTTACCAGTGCATGTGTTGTTCTGTCATTTTGCCTGTGTTGTGTTTGCTCTTCTATATCGTGGCATTGTTGTCCTTGCAGATACCAGTTCTTGATGCTTCCTTTCCCCTCCAGCCCTAACTGCAGGCTTTCTTGTGCGGGGTTTATTTCTATTTATTTGTTTTATTTATTCATTCATTAATTTATGTTTTCCTCCACTGAGCCATTTGGCTCTAGTGTGACAGGTGTTCAGAGGGGGCTTGGAGCAAGAAGCTTGCAGCTGGATTGTGGGTTGGGTAGGCCAGTCAGGTGTTCTAGCATCTTGGGGTGTGACTGTAGTTGCAGCTCCTGGGCCCCTTGGGCATCTAGCTTCCATTTGTGATGTGGGTGTAAACTTGATATTAAGTTATTTCTTTATTTATTTGGAATATTTATACAGGCTGGCTCAGTTTGGCTTTGAAAAGCAGGTTTACATTGCCTCTATAAATGATAACAAGGCCAGATGACCATGCTGGGAACCACATTCATTACTCTTTGTTGAAGTCTATGAGTTCTTTTACTCTTTAACTCCCAAGATCTGATTATTAATTTATTCTCCCCTCAGTAGCTGCTGCACATTTGCATATTCATCAGTTATGAGAACTTTTCTGTGAGATCAAAAAAAAAAATCCTCTACCTGATTAGTTTGAGTATTCTCGTCACCTGTTTGCTGGATAATGTGTGGATCTTATAGGGAGAAGTTACATGTTAATCATTTCAGGGAGTTAAAGGGTTAATGTCTCATGGATTTTAACCAGTACTGAGAAGATGTAGGAGAGTATGGGGCCTATGGTTTACCATCCTTGGCTGAGAAGATTAGAATGTCTAACCATTTGGAGATGTTACAGCAAATTAAAGGCAGCACATTCTCCTCAGTTGTTTTAAGACCCCGAGTGTTGTTGCAGTTTTAGGCTTGAACCCTCAGCTACCTGCACAGCAAGAACACCTTCGCAATGTATAAAGAAATGACAAGAACACGTCATCTAAACCGGTTGCTAGACAATTTATCCTCCTTAATCTCTTTCCCTACATCTAGGCTGCTTGAAGGGCTGCAAAACTCCAGAACAAAGAATTATCTTTCAGATCGGCACTTTTCATTCCCACAGTACCAACGAACACTTTTCATTCAGCTAACTTATTCTTGTTTTCTCGTCACTATATTCCCACCAATAGCGTGGCTCCATTCCTGCAGATAAATACACACGCAACTCACAATTCCTCCAACCGCTGTGACGAAGGGCTAACGCTCAAAACTTCAGCTTTAAACTCTTTACAGTGGCCAATTTACATTATCAACTCAGTTAATAATACAAAATTACACTGCTGTACTCTCCCCCTGATGCAGCACCACAGTTTCTTAAGAAACTTACCCCCTTTACCCGCACAGCAGTCCAGCACTCAACATGAGCTAGCAGAAAAAAAAGATTCCTTTGTTTTAATTAATAAAGTGTATGTGACTGATTGTTATCACTGAGTGTTATCACCTTTTAATACAGGTTAACAACAAAAGACAAGAAAACAACATTTAATTAATACCATAATTCATCATTTATTTTATGTCGAGTTTATGTAAAAAATGTATCAAATAACATCAACAAAATGATGTTACAGCATAAAAACAAAACAATAGATTAGAATTCTAACAATTAGACCTCTTGGTAATTAACCAACAAATGATTTTTCTTTCGTAATATTTGTCAGATACAAACAGTCCTATAGAAGAATGATAATCTGCAATTCGTTAAGGACATTCGAACTCTAAATACTAACATTAATTTTGGGAGACAAATATGGAATAAATTTTACTTCAGAGAGAATTCGTCTTTTTATTCGAGTGATTCCTCCCTAAGTGATCGTTCCATACAACCCGAACAGGCCGATGGGACTCAGTCAAGGATGACCACAACCGCTTAATAGAGACCACCGCTGTGAAAAAGTGTTGAAAGTGACAATGCATAAGAAGAAAAAAATTCGCGAATTTGACAACGACCGCTTAATACAGGTTCGACTATGAATTTTAAATTAACCAATCAGCCCACGCGAAGAGCTCCATTCGCCTGTGTGGTATATTATAAAAAACCGCTCTAAGGTGGGTAGATGGAGTATAGTTATGAAGCACGAAGAGAAAATCTAAGAAGACGAAACAAATCTAAGTCCGGCAATTACTCAGGAAAATTCTTGTCTTTACCTTCTGAAATCGTAGCTCTAAGATTCTTGAGAATCCTTCCTCTAACCACGTAGCCGTTTACACTCCCAACCCGGGGGGAAAAACGGAACCTAGACCCACCCTTCCCCCCTTCCCATGGCTCTTTTAAAAATGATTGTAATATATGCTATCGTCAGTAGAGATGTTCTGGTGAAACATTTACGTTGTCGCAGTTTTTTAGATCTGGGCGGAAGTCAATATATAAGGGCTTACTGACTTTTTGGATCCGTTACAAGGTCTTTAAAGGGGGAAGGAAATTTATCCTTGCTCGCCTTCACTTTGGTGAATATCTCGCGTTAGCGATTGAACATAACAGGAATGCGTAGCGACAACGCTCTTCCCATGCCCGTCTCTCTCAGGTTGATCCTTAATTCCAGGATTTTTCCACGGCTTGTTTTTCCCGGTTTTCCTTACTCCTTAAAAACCAGCGCTCTTAATTCGAGTTGCAAATGCCACCTTCTAAAACCGTTTTTATTTTACATCTGCATGTCACCCAGTCGAGGGTCTCCATTGGGTTAACCGTTAGCCGTAAACCGGTCGAAAAGCTAGCTGTTAGGCGTAAATATTGACAAATTTGATCCCTTAGTTGCAGAAAAGATTAACTTTAAAAATCTTTCCCTCCTACAGTGTGCTATTTAGTGTTATTCTGGGTTAGCCGCAGCAGAAAAATGGCCACAGTTTTAACCGTTAGCCGTAAAAAGTTCTTATCGGTCGGCCCTCAGTTTTTAAGAAAGTTTCGGTTTTTTTAACAGACTGTTTTAGTTAAGTTTGCAATCGTGGAAAAAAAATCATAAATATTTTCTACACACGGGGAACCACACCGATCTTGGGTACCTCCCATGATGAGGACGCTTTCTATAAACAGAATAAAGCACCATCTCCCAAAGTGAAAGGTAATTTCTCTTTTCTTGCCTCTTCAACAATATATATGACTGAACATCATGTCGCTTTACATGCTAAAAAAACGCGTGACATCCTAAGGAACGGCTGCCAATGAAACTGGAAGATGTAAAATCTGAAAATATCGAAGTTTATATCTCATTTAATAACTCTATCCAAGAAAATGGGCAAAAGTTAAGCGAATAAGGCATAGGTGCGCTCACTTCTCCAAAAGAAAAGATGTGACAAAACATCATATCTGTCACATAACGTACTAAAGAAGTGCGTCGCGTGACATCCTGACAAACGGTTGCCAATGATCGATATTAGTAGTTATAGAGTCAGAAAATATCGAAGTTTATCTCTCATTCAGTAAACCTATTCAAAGAAATGGGCAAAAGCTATTAATCGAATACTAATTCAAACGTCAAGAAATGGCTTATGCAGGTTCATGCAGAAATTTTCTTCCCTCTGTTACTGATTTCCTCTTCCATTCTAACAAAATACCAAGCGACGTGTTTCATTGTTTGACATTTAAATGTTAGTTTATTGTACCTAGATAGTAAGTAAACAATCTAATCGGAGAAACTAGATAAAATCATTTGGCTCCAACTTTCTAGCTCGTTCTGAGCTTCCACCGATTCTTTGTAAGCCATAACTAAAATTATAAAGTAAAACTTCTCGTTTTGCCTTTGGACGATTAGAATTAAACTTAAAATGCATCGTTCTGCTTGTAAAAAATTACACAATTTATCGCATTCAAAATTAAGAGAGAAATGTCAGAAAATTAACTAATACCAAGTCTAAACCCTTGCCATTACGGCCAAAATCTGTCATTTTAAGTCCAGATAAACCGAATTCTGATCGGCAGAAACTAACTTTAAGTACCATTGACTGAGTATAAATCCTCGAAAAGTTCATCAAAATTTCCATCTGACATAGACTAAGATAATCGAGCAATCGGACAACTGATTATTCTCCAATTCCAATGGAAATTCTCTACACACGCCCATGGCTGTAATAGCTTTATATAACTCATGAGACTAAACTGATTGAGGAAAAACTCTGTAAAAAAAACTCTGGAAAACGTTTTCAAGACGTTTCAACTTCGACGTAAATGTAACGCCCAAATCCTCTCAGTACAAATACTTAGATTAAAAATAACTTCTCACACAGCTGTTCATGATAATTTTAAGACATCATATGAAAAAAAAAAAACAAAAAAAACAAACAGTAGTTTAAGAAGGATATCAAAGATTGAGCTCGTAAAAGCAGTTCAGACAAGCAAAAAGGCAACTCTTGAATCAATGGAAATCTGTTCTCTTGTTAAACTTGACTTTGGCCGTCTTTTGGTTCTTCCTGCTTTGAAAAGAAGACTTGACAAAGCTTTCATCGGTAGCTTACTGGTTTCTGGTCCAAATATCAGCATTTGTAGGTATCCGAAAACTCCCTGGGATTCCAATGCTCACTTCCTTAACTGAAAAATAAAAGAATCTAAGTTTAGGGAGGATAGTTGAGTTGCCATGAAATATTTCTTAGCACATGAAACGATACATTGCACAACAGGATTGTTTTAAAAGAAATTTGCTATTTTATTCCTATCATGTTTCCAAAAAAGAATGTTATCATCGTAAATGTGTCCACGTGATTGTACTACATATCAGTTTGCGGAGAAAAACTGAATTCGTAACCCAAATGAAAGGAAAATAACACGCAAGTATCACTGCTCACATAGGAGCAAAGATTATGATTAAATTTAACTTTGTATTGAATAGAATGTATCAACAGAATTATTACTTGCTGCAGCCTCTAAATCTCCTTGAAATCCAGGCTGACGTCGTCACCAATGAGTACAAATGGTGCCCAGTAAATCACCTCCTTGAACTTTTCGATTTCTCTCATACACTTCATGGCCTGATTGAGAGCTTCACTTGCCTTCTTGCCTTTGGCAAGTGCATGGTAGAAGAAACTCATGAACTCTACGGTTCCCTCGTCGCCAATCGCCCACAAGGTTACCACAACAGATCTGGCACCGGCACTCAAAAGTGCACGCGCCATGCCGACCACACCCTCGGCCATGACGTCCCCACAAGCAGTGTGACAGCAGCTAAGTACAACCAGACGTGCTCGCAACCCAGTTTCCATGACATCTTTCATTGTCAGTAGATAGTCTTTCTCTTGCGGCTGAGGGTTATCTCTTGTGGTGTTTGGTGCCAAGATAACTTCTCCAGTTTCCATTTTACCGTGGGCTGCTATGTGAACTAAGGCCACTGATGATATTCGTTTTAACACTTCATCTTTTGTTGCCATTTCTCCAGTGAGATGGGAGACATTGAGGATACGTCCGATCATCTCCACTTCTTTCCTTGCTCCTGGAAGTTGCACCAAAAGTCTTTCCTCATAGATGATATGTTTGAAACATGGGTCGCCGACAAGCAATGCACCAGTCTTCATGTGAAAGTCAGCTGGACAATCATGAATTAGTTGCAAGGTCGTCAGAGAGGGAAGCACACGAATTCTGAAAGAGTCACTTAGATATGATGAGTTGGAGTCCTGCAACGCTGCATAAGGTACAAGGCAAAATGGCCCCTCAGGAACGAACGTGATCTCGTCGTTGCCTTCGATCAGGTCAGCAATAGGAGTAACGATGATGTCATGCAGCTTCTTTAAAGCGCTGGATTGGGAGTGCCTCACATCAACTGGGATCACATCATTGGCCACTTCCTCTTCTGTCGGCAAGTCAAGCGGACGATATTCGATGGTCACAGTATCTCTTTTACTGATCTCCTTAAGAGCAGTTTTGTTCAGTACCTGCATGAAAACTTTCAATTCATCCTCATACTTGTATTTGTTCACGTGTACTTCTCTCTTCTGGATATTATTTTCACTGAGGCAAACCCAGAAGTAAACACATGGTCCATTAATAGCTATGAAAACTGTGCTCAATGGAACCCACCTCAGAGAAATGCGGGATGCTCTAGGCGTTAAAGAATCTTCAGGCTGATACTTTATGACCATGAGATCTCTCAGAGCTTGAGCACGTCCTTTCTCTGAGGTAAGAAGAGCCTTCACAACTTGACCTCGCTTGAGATTTATACGCCACAAACCTTTGTATGCTCCTTGGTGTAAATTACGATAACAAATCTTCCACTGATCGTTGAGTTGAAGACTGGCCCTGATATCATCATACAATTCTACGCTCGAGTAATAACAGTCAAAGGCCATCATAAGATTTCCTTGGCTCTCAAAACTGATTCCAAGGGAGCAGAGTGAGCACGCCTCTCCAGTCTTATCTCCCACTTCTTTGGATATTTCTAGGTGACGTAGAAAAAACTCAAAAGCTGTTTTCAACTCTCTTTGAGCCTCATGAATCATGCCGAGAGAGCAATAGCTTTTTCCCTCTCCAGCCTTGTCTCCCACTTCTTTAGCAATTTCTAACTGACGTTGATGGTACTGGATGGCTGTTTTGAACTGTCTTAGACCTTGATAAGCGTTGCCGAGATTGCCATAACCGATTCCCTCTCCGGCCTTGTCTCCCACCTCTTTAGCAATTTCTAGATGACGTTGATGGTACTGGATGGCTGTTTTGAACTGTCCTAGACCTTGATAAGCGTTGCCGAGATTGCCATAACTGATTCCCTCTCCGGCCTTGTCTCCCACTTCTTTAGCAATTTCTAGATGACGTTGATGGTACTGGATGGCTGTTTTGAACTGTCCTAGACTGTTATAAGCGTTGCCGAGACTGCCATAACTTCCTCCCTCTCCGGCCTTGTCTCCCACCTCTTTAGCAATTTCTAGATGACGTTGATGGTACTGGATGGCTGTTTTGAACTGTCCTAGACTGTTATAAGCGTTGCCGAGACTGCCATAACTTCCTCCCTCTCCGGCCTTGTCTCCCACCTCTTTAGCAATTTCTAGATGACGTTGATGGTACTGGATGGCTGTTTTGAACTGTCCTAGACCTTGATAAGCGTTGCCGAGATTGCCATAACTGATTCCCTCTCCGGCCTTGTCTCCCACCTCTTTAGCAATTTCTAGATGACGTTGATGGTACTGGATGGCTGTTTTGAACTGTCCTAGACCTTTATAAGCGTTGCCGAGATTGCCATAACTGATTCCCTCTCCGGCCTTGTCTCCCGCTTCTTTAGCAATTTCTAGATGACGTTGATGGTACTGGATGGCTGTTTTGAACTGTCCTAGACCTTGATAAGCGTTGCCGAGATTGCCATAACTTCCTCCCTCTCCAGCCTTGTGTCCCACTTCTTTAGCAATTTCTAGATGACGTTGATGGTACTGGATGGCTGTTTTGAACTGTCCTAGACCTTGATAAGCGTTGCCGAGATTGCCATAACTTCCTCCCTCTCCGGCCTTGTCTCCCACCTCTTTAGCAATTTCTAGATGACGTTGATGGTACTGGATGGCTGTTTTGAACTGTCTTAACCTGCCATAAGCGTTGCCGAGATTGCCATAACTTCCTCCCTCTCCAGCCTTGTCTCCCACCTCTTTAGCAATTTCTAGATAACGTTGATGGTACTGGATGGCTGTTTTGAACTGTCCTAGACCTTGATAAGCGTTGCCGAGATTGCCATAACTGATTCCCTCTCCGGCCTTGTCTCCCACTTCTTTAGCAATTTCTAGATGACGTTGATGGTACTGGATGGCTGTTTTGAACTGTCCTAGACCTTGATAAGCGTTGCCGAGATTGCCATAACTTCTTCCCTCTCCGGCCTTGTCTCCCACTTCTTTAGCAATTTCTAGATGACGTTGATGGTACTGGATGGCTGTTTTGAACTGTCCTAGACCTTTATAAGCGTTGCCGAGATTGCCATAACTGATTCCCTCTCCGGCCTTGTCTCCCGCTTCTTTAGCAATTTCTAGATGACGTTGATGGTACTGGATGGCTGTTTTGAACTGTCCTAGACCTTGATAAGCGTTGCCGAGATTGCCATAACTTCCTCCCTCTCCAGCCTTGTGTCCCACTTCTTTAGCAATTTCTAGATGACGTTGATGGTACTGGATGGCTGTTTTGAACTGTCCTAGACCTTGATAAGCGTTGCCGAGATTGCCATAACTGATTCCCTCTCCGGCCTTGTCTCCCACCTCTTTAGCAATTTCTAGATGACGTTGATGGTACTGGATGGCTGTTTTGAACTGTCCTAGGCTTTGATAAGCGTTGCCGAGATTGCAGTAACTTCTCCCCTCTCCGGCCTTGTCTCCCACCTCTTTAGCAATTTCTAGATGACGTTGATGGTGCTGGATGGCTGTTTTGAACTGTCCTAGACTTTGATAAGCGTTACCGAGATTGGAGGAACTGTTTGTTATGACTTTTAGTTCGGCATTAGTTTTCCTTAGTAATTGAAGCAGACGTTTGTTGTCATTTTCAATCTTAAAAGGTGTCAAGGGTCGATAAATCATGAGTAGATTTGCGAAAATGCAGTGGAAATGTATATTTTACAAAAACAGTGAGAGTATTAGACACAACCTTAAAACTGGAATGATAATTCGAACGTTGGTCTTTTTCAGAGATTTGATTTTAAGAGCGCTTATCTGTAAAAGTCAGACAAATTCTAAATTTCGCGGCGAGGGTGAAAAATTCGATTTCTCTCTTATTTTAATATTAGATAGGCTAGACTATAACTAAAATCACTGGATACTTTTTTGGCAAAATGTCTTTTTATTTCAGAGAAAAATACAAATAAATAAGTTCCGTTAAAATCGTCATTTTTAGCTGCAAAGTATTGCACAAGTTTGAGGGCTTCGCATTCAAAAACGAATCACAATCTCGTCTTTTTAACACTCAAATCTTCTTTTATAACCTTATAAGACCTCAGAAAACGATTTTTGTAAACACTACGTTCCTCTTTGCGTGTAAAATGATTTAATTTGGAAAGCATACATTTCTCTTCAGTAAAAGTACTTTGTGAGTAAAGTTAATTTTCAGCATGTGCTAAACCTTCAAATGGATTAAGCTTTGGGCGGTAGAATTACGAAAAGATGTTCTCAATATTACTATAAAAATCTCTTTGGGCAAATGATTGAGAGCGATACGAAAGCTTTTCAAAGTCCGTTAAAATGCAGTTATTTGACCTTTCGCGGTCAACATTCCAGTTGCGAGTCACACACCTACTTTAATTTGATTCATATGAGGCCGGAAAATGTACATGGGTACACATTTCCAATTGCTCTAACCTCATTTGCCGTAGAAGAAAGATCCAGAGACCATTTTACTTTGGTTACCTTGTCGCTCATCGTATTTATAACATCCGATGAAATTGCCTGTCAATCTGCAAACTGTCACCAACCTTCGCTGTAAAATGTTTGACATCTTTCTGCACTGTGGCATCTTCTCCAGCGGTTCAGTTGACTGTGAGTGTTGTTTGGTTTGAGTTGCAGTAGATCTGATCGATGCTTTTAAAAGTGGCACTACACATATGTTGCAGTCAACGTAGTTTTGTATACGGAGAGTCGCCACGCGATGCAAATCATACAATGGAAAGTTAATTTTTTAGGGGGTAGGGGAAGGGGAAAGTAAAGAGACGTCACTCTGCTGCTAAGCTTTTTTGTTGATGTGAACATCGAAATCTCTTACATGTAAGTCGTGGAGATCGGGCCTTTGGCTAATACTCGTTGGAAAACTAAATTTAGTACCTGCTAAAAGTAGTAAGCCTAAGTAAACAAAACCTGGTTTATGGTAATTACAAGATGTCTATTGTTCGCTTAGAGGCGGGGCTTCGGGCTTTGTTTTTCACAAATACACTAACTTACACAGTCAACTTTGTTACATAAAAAATGGAAGGTTGTTGTTCGTTCAAGTTGCTTATTGGCGGAGTTTGTGGTTACAACAATAGAGATCGAATGCGTGAAACGGAAAATGTTCCTTTACTTTCATGCACCAAGAATATCGCAAGTCATGAGTCGGCTTTCAAATTTACCGGTCCTGAAGATGAGATCGACCTTATTTTGTGCCGAGTGCACATATGTCGGCCCCTTTGTAGTTTATGGTTTTAAACGGTAGTTGGGTCTGTTAACAGCGGTTAATAATACCACTCCCTTATGCAAACCCCATCCATTGGCCACGGAGCATAGCACCCCAGCCTAACATAAGCCACACATCCCCACCACTGCGTTTTGTAGCATGATGTTGTAAAAATGTACTAAAGGTTCTCTTTCATGCTATTGGGGTATTCCTCGCAATTTTAGTGGAAAGAAAAACACCCCTAATAAGCACGACAGGCACAGAGCGCCAAAAAAACAAGAATAATTCCCTGCAATAAATAAAAGTATTTTACTGTTTGTCACCAGACAGAGATGACACTATCACAAAAATGTTTACAGAATAAAATAATTTGTAGGTTCCAAGAGTTCAATTCTGATAGTGCTTAATTATATGGAGTTTTGCCCTTCACCTACCCCCTAAAGTTCCTTTGTCACCAGTATTGCGTGACAACCCAAATACTCAAAGGGCGTACATGTTTGTTGTCAACTCAGTTTAGCATTGAATGAGACTGTCAGATGTAATTTTTTAGTGTATTGTAAACTGAGTAATACTCGCAGTCAACTGAACCGTTGAATGAGATGCCACAGTGAAGAAAGATATGGAACGTTTGACAACAAGATGGTGTTCGACAGGGTTAGTGGTTTCATCGGACGTTAACACTTACACAGACCTAAATACGACGAACGACAAGAGAATCACACTAAAATGGTCTCTGGATCGGTCTTCTGCGGCAAATGAGGTTAGAGCATTTGGAAATATCTTTCTATGTACATTTTTCGGCCTCATATGGGTTGAAACATATTAAAATATGCGTGACATGACTGGAATGTTGACCGCAAAAGGTCAAATAACTGCATTTTAACGGACTTTGAAAAGCTTTTGTATCGCTCTCAATCATTTGCCCAAACAAATTTTTACAGTAATATTGAGAACATCTTTTCGAAATTCAACCACCAAAAGCTTAATCCATTTGAAGGTTTAACACATGATGAAAATTAATTTTATTCACGAAGTATTTTTACTGAAGAGAAATGCATGCTTTCGAAATTAAATTATTTTAAGAGAAAAGAAGAGCGCAATGTTTACAAAAATCCTTTTGTGAGGTCTTATGAGATCGTAAAAGAAGATTTGAGTGTTTGAAAGACGAGATAGTGATTCGTTTTTGCACGCGAAGCCCTCAAACTCGTGCAATAATTTGCTGCTAAAAATGACGATTTTAACAGAATTTCGTTATTTGTATTTTTCTCTGAAATAAAAAGATATTTTGCCAAAAAAAGTATCCAGTGATTTTAGTTACAGTCTAGCCTATCTAACATTGAAATAAGAAAGGAATCGAATTTTCCACCCTTGCCGCGATATGTTTGATTTTTAAAGACAAACGCTCTTAAGTTAGTGGAGAGTTTTAGCTTGCTCTGAAGCGCATTTATTGGTTTAGGTTCGGTCGTCATGGTGATGCTCGTCTGAGGACAAAAATGAGGGGTATTCAGCCCAAACTCTGGGAATTAATTGATATGGCCTCTTCTTTTGATTAAAGTTTCGTGGAATAGTCGAAAGAACTCTTTAATAATATTTTAGCTTCTTTAAACTGCTCAGTGCAGTATAAGAGAACATTGCTTCCATTATGTGTTGAAGAATCTCTCCGGAAAGTATTGATTTCCCTTGAAATATTACTCGCATTGCATCTCGTATCACCTTTGAAACATTCGTTAAAGGATACGGCCAATCCCATATGCAACCAGCTCCTTGCTTCTTTATACAAGCAAATTTCGGCACAAGCTCTGGCTCCTGAAAAGGAGAGAATAATTGGTGATACGAAGTAACTCATCACTGTTAAAGTATAAACGTACTGATAAAATGGACTTAATTTCCCATTTGGCCGGGAACAAAAATTGTGATAATGAAGGAAATTTGAACTCGTGAAAGAACTGAAAATAAACAATAAGAAGCTAATGGAAAGCAGCTACCAATTAAGCTTCAATTGATGATGATAACGATAAATTTATCTCGCGCATTCTTCATTTTAATGTGCTATTATGCGCTTTTCAGCACTTTTAGGGGAAGTTTTCGGGTAAACTGCATTGAGTGGTTTACACCTTTTGAAAGGGAATTTTTCAGGTGCCTCCTTGAGTTACAGAGAAGATGCAAGAAACAAGGTTGACGGTTTTCCGTTCTTATCCGGGACTAGAATATCAAACCATTTGCAGATCTCACAGCCTAGGCGGCAGCACATTGTCCTAAGATATTTTAAGACTCAGGGAGATGGTTCGGTCTAGGGCTTGAACCCTCGACCTCCGACGCTCTACAACGTGAACTAAACAGGCGGCGGTATTTGAGAGCTTATTGACATTTTCTTATCCTTTTTACCCACATCACAGACATCGACACACCAGATACAATTGACATTTGGGTTGCAGTTACCTTCCACACACCACACAATCTTCTTTTGACGAAATCAGAGAATAGAATGTTGATGGATTATGTCTGAAAAACCCACCTTTCTTAATAGCCTTGATTAAAGTGGGTTCCAATTGAACGGCAACTGTTGCATCATCGAAACATTCCACGTAGTTTGCTATGAGATTCAGGAAATAAGGTTTAAAAAAGTGGTCATCATATGGAATTGCAACAAAGAAGCCTTAAAAAATTACAATTGCTTAAAATGTAACGAGGATCATCCCTTTGCTTAATTTTCATCCACCACAAGGCGATTTATGTTTTTACGCTACTTTTCTACATTTGCTCAATTTTTCCTTTTCTTGATGCAGATTGTGTATTCCGTTATCTTGTAACGCTGCACGACAGATTTATATGTTTACATATGAAATTGTTACCTAAACGGAAATGAGCTGTTGCCCTGTTGCTGTAAAGCTTGGCGTTCAGCCGTTTATCTTTGCAGTTCACTTGAAGTCCTTCCGTGTAGGAGTTTATTGCGTCATTAGCTTCTCCTTGTTTGTATTCTTTGTTACCTTTCTCCAGAAATACTTTCGCTATTTCTGAAAACACAACGTTTTAGTGTTAATAATTTAGTAATGAGTGATACGACCCTTGAGATGACGGATGATGCCAACTCTATATATTCAAATGAACTTTTAGGTTAAAGGAGCTTAGAGCTATGAGAAAAAACAACCAGAAAAGTTTAATATCTGTACATTTTGTTTGTGTGAAAGCTGCTGGGAGTCTGGGCTGTAGCTTGGCTATTACCACAACTTTATCGATTTACATTTAGGTCGAGAGGCTTTCCAAACTCCTTTTACACCTGGCTTACGTTTTCCAAAATATCACAAGTTTCACCGGAAGATCCTATCTTAACTCAACTTTGTTTACAATCGCCCTTCAGGAGAGTTTATCTGTGCATTTTGTTTTCTTTAAAATACACAAGCTATTTGGAGTTTTAGCTGTAGCTTGGCTATAACCACAT